CACTGGTAACGGGAACCACATCCTTCCCACGTGTCAGACACCTGGCACACACCAGTGTCACATTTACGCTCTCAGCGTCCCTGCCAGAGAGGCTCCTTCTGTCCATTTGTACAGATGAGGACACTGAAGTCAGAGAGGTGAAGTCACTTGCCCAAGATCACACAGCCAGGGAGTGGGAGAGTAGACGCTGAACACTGGTGTGTCTGGCTGTTGGGGTTGTGCTGCAAACACAGCTAGGGATGGGGTGGGCGAGAAGGGTGACTTGTGCCTTTTTGTCAAGGACAGCCTTCCTGTCCCCACCGAGGCACCCAGGCTGGGCCTTTGGACCCTCTATCTAGTCTCTCACTGGCCTGAGCCTGGACCACAGGAAGGGGCTTGGGCTTGGCAGCAGCGCCACCTGGTGGCGGACATGCTGCCACCTGCCTGCCTGAGCCTAGGAGCCTAGGGTAGGGAGGCGGGAGGGCAGGGAGGCCCAGTGCTCTTGCGTCCCTGCTACAGCCCAGGCCAAGCCAGGCGCTGCCTGTATAGAGAAAAAGCCCAAGGACTGTGGGTCTGATGCCCCTGGCTTTGAATTCCAGCTCAGCCTGGGCTGAGATGCCCTGGACCTTGCCCTGGGCTCAGCTGTGGGCAAGTTTCTCCACTTACCTCTTCCGGCTTGTTTGCACATGTGCAAAATAGGAATAAATCATGGTTGCAGGTTGCTTTGAGGCATATAGAAAAATAGCTGACCTAATCCCAGGTAACAGTAGGTGCTCAATAAATGGTACTTGCCTGCACGCCACAGTTTCCTCCGTCCCTTCTCCCCACCACCTGACCAGGTTCGCCCAGGGATCAGGCCCAGATTGCTCTACCAGGTTTCCCCGAAATCCCGCACCTCTGGCGGCCCGAGTTCCTGCCCAGACTGGCCTATGAGATCCTGGTCACTCGGGAATGGCTGGCTTTGGAAAGAGACGCAAAGGGAGGCAGAGAAGATTCCCAGGAGAATAAGAAAAGCCATGTGTTTGCCGGACCCAGCTGGGGGTGCCTGGAAAACCCGGGCCTGCACGGCCTGGGTGGGTCAGGGGGTGGCGTCCCTGGTTCACGCCATACCTGCAACTGCCTCTCGGGGTCCGGGGTTCTGGCTGGGCCTTTCCGTCACCGCAGGCGGGTGCCACTGAGTCCCCTCTTCACTCACTGAGTCCCCTCCACTGTGTCCGCCCGCCTCTGAGGGCATTTCTGAGCCCCTCCCATTCCCTCAAGGCTGCATGGTGCCACAAGGTGACCCCCAAGTGCCCCAGCCATGAGCAAGGGCCTTGCTATTTTTATGACTCCTGATGGCTCTCAGTATCTCTTCAATGCTCCCCAATCACCCCACTTTTGTTAGTAGCCCCTACAACTCCCATAGCCTGCTGTCACTCTCAGCCCTCAGCCCTCCCAAATGGCCCCATACCATCCTGCCGGGTCTGTGGGACGCCCCACACCTTCGTCAGGTCTCCAGGGCCCTGTGTTCCCCTCCACTGTCAAGGCCTCCTCTCCCTGGCCCCAATGTCCCCTTGTCCCTGTCCATGAACCCAGTGGACTTCGAACATTTCTGGGACACTACAGAGGCTTCTAGAGGTCCTTAGTGTCACCAAGGGCATTTCAAGGGCCCTGAGGAACCGCAGACTTTCCCCACATGGACAGCCATAGCTTCTCCACAGCCTTGCGTGACCCATCAGTGCTAATGGCTACGGGGACACTTGGTGGCTCCCAACAGTGCTGTGATGGCTATTTTGTGTTGGCTTGACTAGGCCAAGGGTGCCCAGCTGGAAGAACACTGCTTCTGGAAGAGATTGGCACGTGAGTGGGCAGACTGCTGGTGGTCATTACCCATCCCTCGAGGGCCTGGGCTGGGACACCCATCTCTTCCTGCCCTCGGACACCTGTGCTCTGGTTCTTAGGCCACAAGGCTCGGACGGGAGCCACAGCCCCGGCGTCCTGGGCCTCCAGCTCGCAGAAGGCAGATCACGGGACTTCCTGGCCTCCATAAGTGCAGGAGCCAATCCCTCCCCACGAATCTCTGCCGGTGTATCCAGATTGATATCCTACTGGCTATTTCCCTGGAGAAGCCTGACTAGTACAGGTGTCTGCAGAAAGTGCCTGGGCCTTGGAGCCAGGGACACCTGGGCTGTGACCCCAGCTCCGCCGCTCTCCAGCTCTGTGCCCTTGGGTGGTGGACTCTACCTCTCTGAACCTGCTTCCTCCTTGGTAGAATGTGAAAACCATGCCAGCCCACATGGTGGCTGGGGGCAAGCTGACACATACTACGGGGCCAGTATGGTTTCCGGCGCTGAACAAGCCTTCAGTGCCCGTTTACCCCTTTCCTCCCTGCTCCCCAGTCTGAGGCAGGCCGGGCACTTGTCCACTGAGCCCCTGCTTTGTGCAAGGACCTGCACCAGGTGCCACCCCTGATGAGCGGGTATCACATGACACTCCTGCTCTGTCAGAGGGATCAGAGAGGGGCCACCCCAGCCTGCTTATACAGCTGCTTATAGAAAGTAGACCAGGGATGGGGAGGACTCTGGTCTCTGCCCCACTCCACCAAAGACGTCCTCCTGCCTCTGTCATTGCGCAGGCTGTTGCCTCGTCTCAAACGCGCCTCCTCGCCCGAGCCTCCCACCCCTCAAAGTGCAGCTCGAGTCCCACCGTGGCTAAGTGGCTGGGTACACGGGCTCCACAGGCCCAGTAAGCCTCGATCCAAGCCCAGCCCTCCCCCTGCCAAGGGGTACATCTTGCACCTCTTTGGGCAAACAATTTACATTTCTTAAGTTTCCCCATGTGAAAAGTGGGGTTAACAACACTCACCTCCTAGGTCTGTGGTGAGGCCCTGACAAGCAACGCAGGCGTGACGCCGGGGCCCTGCAGGTGCTCAGTGAGTGGCGCCGAGTCCTGCCGTGGCACTTTCTGCTCTGTGCCTTCTTGTGGAGTGGCTCTGACACCTCAGTGCACTGGGAAGGTCTGGGCGGTGCGGGTGCTGCTCCTCCCAGCAGCCCCCAGGCGAGGGCCTCAGAAGCCAGAGACAGAGAAGTTGCCAACAAAGACGGACTCTCCTCCCGAATGGGCAACGAGGTGCTGCAGCTCATTTGCTTTTTAACATCGCATTGCCTGAGACAGTGCAGGGACTGGTTATGAGAAGGGAGTACAGAGGAGCTCTGGGGAAACCTTGGGCCAGCTTAGCTCACACTCTGGGCCTCATTTCTTCACCATTGTACCAACGGCTGAGCCGAGGCCCGTGGAAGTGGGCAGACTTGCCCAGTGCCACGCTGTAGAACTCCAACTGGCTGGAGAAGGCTGAGAATCGGAAGTCAAAACAGCTTCTCCCCATGAACCTACCCTTGTCCAGGGGGGTCTGGACACCTCTCCTCTTGACTAAGAAGAGCAGGAACACTCAAGGGAAGGGGCTGTTCCACTTGTCTTAATAGCCCTAGTCTTAGATCCAAGCAAGGAACATTATTAGGTCAATAAGGTCAGTAAGGTCAGTAAAGACCTGCTGAATGCACGAAAGGACCCGGATTTCCAAAGTTTGCATATCTCAGCAGAAAATGTCTGTGTCTGCTCTTTGGTGCCTGATCTCCTCCCCCATCCCACAGGAAAATCTCTTAGGCCTGAGGTAGCCCTTGACTTCACTTCCAAAGCTCCCCTCCCCTTTTGTTTTTTTGTAGTCTGATAGAGCCAGGCTGCAGAATCACACTTGGCCAGCAGGGGTCACTAGCACACACTGCAGCCGGCAGGGTCTACTGAGTAAATTAACTCCTGATACTATTAATTCTGTAGGAACAAGAGTCTGCAAGACAGGTTCCCTGGGAATGAGTGAGATCCACATTTCTGTGACCAAGCCTATTCTTGTCTTGCAATTGCAGTTACTTTACACAATACACTTTCAGACATGAGGAAGAAAGGTGGCAGGGGACAAGTGACAGGTGACTGCACCAATGTCTGTGGCTCTGTGAAGTTAGGAAGTACTCAGGGGCCTCTGTGAATCACAGAGATGGTCTGAACTCCAAAACTCTGTGGCATGCTTTCTCTGTGAGCAGCTATTACAACCTCAGAGAGAGTAAGATGCTAAGACAGGTTCAGGTAGAACCAAGATTGGGGATTTTAAGCAAAAAAACTGACCAGAGAGGAATGAGTAGACAGTGCATAAAATGATCTTCCTGTACCATGGGCTAGCAAGCTAAAACACACTTGGTGGTCTAAAGTTGCCATTTGGAAATCTCAGACACAAATTTAAAGATTTTTGTCTAAGTTCTGAGCAATACCACAAAACACTTCTTGAGTGTAGACACTGTTCAATCAGGATAATAAAAATAAATGTGAACACGTAACTTTATCATTCACGTTCAGAGTACACAGGAACTTCATGATTATCCTGCATCCAAAATGGGAGCCATTATCCCCATTTTAGAGATGAGAAAACTGAGGCTGGCAGGGGCAGATCCAGGAGCCTGAGGCAGTGCTGCACCCTGCAAATCCTCATCCCTTTCCACTCTGCCTGGCCTGCCCCAGACAGCCACTGCGAGGAGGCTGTTGCTTTCTTTGGGCTTGCAGTGTGAGAAACAGAAAGGCACAGTGATCAAGACACGGGGCCTGGGGTGAGACAGATGTGAGTTCTTTTTCCTTCTTGTTATTGACTAGCTGTGTAACTGTGGGCAAATTACTTAACTTCTCTGTGTCTCAATGAGGGGAAGTGATAAATGCATAACATGGAAAAATATCTTACTTTACCAGTTGTTGTGAGGATTAAAAAGGTCACTTTAGTGAAGCATCTAGCGTGGACTAGGCGAAGAGTGAACACATGAGCAGAAGCAAGCTTGGGCTCCTGAACACCAGTGCTTTCTACTTTGTTTTCAACTGGCCACACTGAGTGGAGACTGCAACCTCCAAATGTGGAACTCAGATGGCTTTGCAGGCATATCATGGAGGTAACAAAAACCAGAAAGAAAAATCCAATGAACAGCACCCTGCTGGGGACAGCCACATGATAGTTTGTTCATTTCTTTAATTTTTAAAAATGAGTAAGCAGACAATTTTGTGCCTTTGAACACCCAATAACCTTTTTCATTTTTTAATAATACCGTAAATATCTCGGAAAGGATGTATTGTTTCTAATGAATATCAAAAAAGTCATCATAATGATGTGTTCCCCTGCCCCACGGTGCCCTCCCCACCCCCAGAGTTACCCAAATACTTGTAGGAAATTACAAAAAACAAAAGACAGCAATCAGCCCTCCACCTGCCCCATGAGTGGTTTCGCACCACTCGTGAGCCGAGCCCCAGGAGCCACGTGAGCGGCACAGGCGTCCGTGCCCGGGGAGGGCTGGGTGGACAGCCAGCCGCGCGGCGCCGGGAAGGCTTCCTCCAGACTCTTGCTGCAGGGGAGCGGGTGAGGGCCGCGCGTGCAGGGCGCCCAGTTCGGGCCAGACGGCTCAGGGAGACGAGGGGGACGGTGGTCTGTCTGTTGGAAGCCAGGCAGGCTTGCGTTGCCTGCACAGGGCGGGAGGCGGCTAGCCCTGGCGTCCCTCCCTGCCCAGAGGGGCACTGGGCATCCCTCTTAGCAAGCTTGGACTTCAGGTGGGGGCTGGCCAGAGCAGACACACTGGGAGTTTGGAAACTTGTGGGTGAAGAAACCACATGGATCCCCTGACTGGATCTGGAAGAAGCTCACATTTCCACCAAATCAAATTGGGAGCATACAGGGAAAGGAAAAACACATGCACCTTCCCCACCTCTAAGAGAGCTCAGACACCACGGCGGAGGGTTGATGCGAAGTCCAGTCAGAAAAGCAGAGCGGTATGGGCCAAGGGGTCTGCGGCCAGGGGGGCGGGGGCGACAGCAGCCCCCTGCGGACTCCGGATGCCCTTCTCCCTCCAGCAGGAGAGGGGCCTTCTCAGTCCCCTGGCGACAGAGCGACAGAGCGGGCGGGATGGGGAAAGATCTGAGAGGCAGGCTGGTGGGGGCGGGGAGGGGACAGCAGGAGGGAGAAGAGGTAGGCCGTGGGAGGCCTCAGGAGGACGCCAGGCTCCACTGTAGCTCCCTGAAGGAAGGGACTAAGACATAGATCCTGGTCAGGCAGCTGCAAGAGCAGACAGCGCCTCCTGACCCAGAAAACCAGCCCTGCTGAGGGTGAGAGCAGAGGACTGGACAGGAGGGCAGGGCAGGCCAGGCCATGGGGACTGAGGACCCACTGGGCACCAGCAAGCCAGGCTGCTCCCGGATGAGATAAAACTAAAGCTTTGGGGGAAAACACATATCCCTACGATTGCATTTCCGTGATAATCTTGATTTTAAATAAGCAGGTGGGGAGAGGAGTGGGGAGCGCTAAGATTATTGCCTGCAAATCTCCAGAAGAGCCAAGATCAAAGGCAGGTCCTGCAGCCAGCAAGGCATGCAAAGAGAGTCCCTGTGGGAACAGCCAATCCAGCCCCTTCCCCAATTTGGGACGTAGAGAAACTGAGGCACAGAGAGGGGAAGGGAGTGCCCAAGGTCACTTAGTGGGATCAGGGTGGTGGGGGTGGGGGGACTCCAACCCAGGAGTCCTGAGTCTGATGGGACCTTTCTTCTCTGCCCCACAGCCTTGACCTTGCTGCATCAAGCTCGCTGCCCTGGACAAGAGAAGGTTCAGGATGAGCCCCTGGAGGAGCTCAGGGAGGGTGGAGGAGGTGGCTGCCGGTGGTCGGAGACAGGGTCAGGGACAGGTTGAAAGGCTGACAGAGGAGGACAGGCACCGCTCCCCCCACCTGCCCAAGTATAAAAGTTTTACAATATTATACACTTTTTCCTAACCCCTAGAAAACAATGATTAAAACTGCCCTAGGACGAGAACATTCCGCTAGTTGCTGTACAGCATTATCTCTTCGCAGTGGTTACTGCCACGATGACGGGGCGAGGAGAGGAATGTGACTTTAAACCAGAGTGCGCGGTGTACCGCGGCCACCTGAAAATTAACGTGTTAATGAATCATGTGCAAAGGAGCAAGCCCTACCATTAGGAGAAGCACGTGTTTCAGGCATTCGCTTACACACGGGGGGGGGGGGGGAGGGCGCCGCTCAGAAGTGTGCCTCCTTCTCTGTGATGGTGGCGATGGCCCCGTCACCCTTGAGTCTGGCGTCACAGTCATTGACCGCCACCGTCCGTGGGCCTGCCCCACGCTGGCCCCGCATTTTCAGGTCAGCACTGGGGGTCGTCAGCTTCCGGAGTTTCTAGATGGTTGGAGGGAGAAGAGCCGTCTGAGATTAGCGGCCAGGGTGCCGGGCCGGCCTCGGCCTCTCCCAGCTGCACGAGGGGAAGCCCCGGTGCCTGGGATCGTGAGACGGAGGTCGGGCCAGCCCTGCCACTTATAGCCCCGTCCTGGACCATGAGTGACCTCCCTTGGGTCTCAGTTTCCTCCTCTGGAAAGTGGGGGCAATGCAGGTCCCTGCTCCTGGCGTCAGGTGAGGAGTAAGGAGACGGCATGTGGAAGCACCTAACCTCCCAGCTGGCCTATGGAGGGTGCCTGGGCCCCAGAGCTGATCAGAGCCATCCCTGGCTGAGTCCCCTCCCTCAGAGAGGTGGGGTTGGATCACTGCTTGGCCACTCACTGCACTGTCCTCATCTGTGAAATGGGGCCACAGGGCCTGCCCAGAAGGGCCCCCGTGAGTGAGTGTAAGGCCCCTCCAGGCTACCTGTAGGACGGCTGCTGGTGAGATGAGTGCCTTCTGCATGTACGGGGTGTCGCCGTGGCAGGCCAGGGCAGCAGGTGTGCTGTGCTCCCCGCGCTGTGCTTCAGGCCAGGACCGCGAGCGCCCCATCCGACCCGCACAGGCAGGCCGCCCTGGCCGGCCACGCCCCGGCCACCTGCAGACTCCTGCCGGAGCGCTGGCGCCCGCCTGCCTCTCAGACCAGATGGGCCGCAGTTCAGCTTCATCGGATTCCCCAGGAGGAGACTCTGGGACAGGATTTGGGAGACCCTCTCTGGACACGAGGGGACTGCAAAGACTTTGGGGTGGCTCGCTTATCATGATCTAGGTTCTGTTTCTCCTCTCAGATCCTGCCATGCCCAAGAGGCTGAACCTATACTGTCTGAACCCTAATCCAGGTAGGATTAATAGGTGGATTCACCTGCACTGATCTGTAGGCGTCCCCGGTGTGCCCGGCACCGTGCCAGGCAACGAGCACTGGCGCCGGTCCGTGTCCCAGCCCCACCACCCACCACGGCCCCTCTGCGCCACTGTCTCCTCGTCTGTAAAAGGGGGACAGCCACGGTACCTGCCTTCCAGGGTTCCCATGGGGCTCAGAGCAGTGGACTTAGCACAACGCTAACGTGCCACCTCCTGTTGGTATGCTGCGTCCCCAGAACACCCCACCCTCCAGACCCCACTGCCTGTCAGCAGGACCGATGTGGGAACTGGGGCTCAAGGAGGGGAGCAAACCAGCACAAGGTCTTTTGGGAAGGAAGGCCTGGAAACTGGGCTGACCCGAGAACTTGCTCCCTTTAAGAAGCCCTGCTGTCTGAGCCAGCAGGCGTGCACTTAGGGACATGGAGGGGACCCAGGAAAATATTCCTGCCCTTCACCCAACACCAGGTCTAAGGTCATCTACTGGATTTGCCAGCAGACACTGGGCATTTCTGAGCACCAAAAAGCCCCCTAGAAGTTCAGACAGGGGCCTTCCAGTGGTGGAGGTTTAAATGCCCCGGGTCAGCTGCCTTCTGGACATGTGTGGCTTGGGGCAGAACCAACAGCCGCCCTGGGCCAAACTCCCTGCGGCACCAGGGAGCCTGACTTGTCCTGGGGCACAAGCAGGGAGGAAGGGACTTCCCTCCTGGCTTGCTCCTTCTGGCCAGAGGCACCTCTCTTCCAGAGCCAGGGTCCTCAGTGGGCGGGGGACCCCTCAGTGGGCAGGGCACCCCTCGGTGGGCGGGGCACCCCTCGGTGGGCAGGAGGCTGGGTGCGGCTGACTCTGGGCTGGAACTTCTGGCTCTGTGCAGACCCGCTCCTGTCTCCTTCTGGTCTTGGCCAGGAGGCCAAGATCAACTCCTGCAATCCCTGGGGAGTGGCGCCGGGGCAGAGACAAGGCCCCACAGAGGAGTGCAGCAAGTGCAGCAGAGGAAGCTGAGGCAGCGAGGCCCCAGGGACAGGACCGCATACTCCAGTCTCTGCTTTCTCATTCAGAGGCTGTGTGCCCTTGAGCAAGTTGCTTCACTTCTCTGTGCTTCAGTTTCCTCATTTGTGGAGACAAAGAGAGTCTCCACCTCACAAGATTGCCGTGGGGATTAAATGACTTAGTATTTGTAAGCTGCTTAGAAGAGTGTCTGGCACACAGCAAACACTCCACTGAAGGCCCCGCGAGCCATCTGGCCGTGGGAGTCCAGACAGAGCGCGCTCTGCAGGGAGGTGTGCTTGCCGATGGGAGACCACGTCCTGCACGATCCCATTGGCATGAAACGTCCAGATGTGCAGAACAGGCAAACCCACAGCAACAGAGCGATTAGTAGCTGTCTGGGATGGGAACGGGTTAACTATTCCCTGGGCTCCAGGCATCTTCCTGGGCAGGTGACACTATTCTAAAACTGACTTACAGTGATGATTGCACTATGGGGAAAATTACAAAAAAATTATTTAACAGTACTCCTGAAATGGGCAAATTTTATGTTGTCTAAAACAAACTTTGATGAAATTATTTTTAAAAACTTGGTCTGCTAACTTTTGGCTGTATGCTCAGCCTTTGGCAAGTGACTTCATTTTTCTGAGCCTCAGTTTCCCTCGCCAGTTAAATGCAGAAAATGATGCCTATTAGCCTGGTTTGCTGTGAGGACTACAGGGGACACAGCAGGTAGAGAGCCCATCACGCGACGACGCAGGATGGGTGCTCCCAAATGCCGGAGGACGAGGATTGGCAGAACAGCAAGGGCCGACACTTGGCACCCTCTGGGCCAGCTCCTGGTCCAAGTGCTTTTCCCTATAAGAACTTGCTGACTTCTCACAAACTCTAAAACTTAGGTATTGCTGTTATTCCATTTTACAGGCAGGGAAACTGAGGCTGAGCTCCTAGAAATTGGCTCAACCCCAAGGCCCCACAGAGATACCTGCAGCACAACCATGGTGACGGGTGCCACCAGGAGGGGCTGCCACAGCCCCCTGCGAGGCGGGGGCACGTTTTCATCACACTGGCTGGTCAGAGGAGGAAGCTGAGGCCGGGGACGTGCCCACATCCACTGGCCCTCCTGGGCAGAGCCGGTCCGTCCTCCCGGCTGTCTCACCTCAGGCAGCGTCCCCTCCGTCTTCCACACCTGGAGGGAGATCCAGAGTGGGATGCAGAGCATGGAGGACAGGGCCATGAGCCAACCGATGCCATAGCCCCAGGCCGGGTAGGTGTACACGTTGTTGTACTTGAGTGGCTTGTACTTGACCAGGAAGAAGATGAAGATGCCCTGTGGAGAGACGGAGAAGTCCCTGGGGATGGGCCCAGTGTCCAGGCTCAGGGCTGCAGGAGGCCAGCAGGGGAGAGGGTCGCCGGGTCTGACAGCCTTAGAGGGGCGAGGCCCTGCCCTGGGGCGAGTTCGAGGCAGAACCACCTGGAGTCCGTCCCACAGTGCCAGGCCCCAGGGAGCTGACCCCGGGCCTCAGACTCCTGGGGTCCTGGGTTGCAGTGACAATGGCAGGTAGCCGACCATGTCTTCAATGTCCCCATAGAACGGGCGCCTCCCGACCCCCACCGCACCCCCGGGAGCCTCTTCTTTGGCGTCTGCCCTGGTCGGAGTGCCCGCATTTTCCTAGTGGCTGCTCGGGCTGGGCTCAGAGTGGCCGCTCAGAACCGCGGTGGCCTGTGAAGAGGCTCCAAGATACTTCAAGGGCCAAGAAGTGGGTAAAGAGCGATGGGCTTTTGTTTTCTGATTAAACATCTGCTCACAGAGGCTCTCTGTGGCCAGTCTCAGGGGCAGAGTGTGTGCCCAGTGTCACCTCAGCTCTGCTGCCTCGCGGCTAACGAGGAAGAAACCCTTCCTGCCCACAGAGGCCCCGCTGCGTGGGCCCGGTGACAGTCTGTGCTCACAGAATCCGAGGCCGAGAAGGCAGCGGCTTGCTTGTGGCCACCGGGCAGGCCCTGGCAGGGCGGGGTTCCAGGAGGCTCTGCCCTCGCCAGGCCCAGAGCCTGTCCCCACGGCTCCAGCGTTGTGAGGACCCGTGGGGACGTCAGCCTCGGCAGGGCTGGGGGCTGTGGAGCGGAAGAGTGGCCGGGTGGACAGCTGGAGGGGTTCCTGGTGGGGTCCTTACCGCGCAGATCCCGGGGGTCACGACCTTCCAGCACCACTTAATGAGTGACAATGGCCGGTAGCCAATCATGTCTTCGATGTTATCATAGAACCGGTTGCTTCCTGTGCAGAACAAATGGATGGTCACACACGCCAAGACTTTCCGAGGCGACCTAGGGGAAAGGCTGAGAGTGTTTGCTTCCCCCAGCTGGAGACAGAAATGGCAGCAGGGACCTTATTACATGGCTTAAAAGGCAACCAAGCCCTTACACGCGTGAGGGCTCAGAGGAGACTGCAGTGGGGGAGTCTGGCCCCACACTGGGGAGGACGCCCCGGCCTCGCAGTCGGGCCAGGAGGTGAGGAGGAGGTTCTGGGGAACGCAGAGGTGGCCCTCGGGGGAGGAGGGGCTGGCTCGCGGGCGGGGCCTGGCAGGCTGCCCAGGCAGCGTGGCCTGCAGGGCTGTGCTGAGCGCTGCTCCGGGCAGGAGCACCCAGCAAGCCTCCCCGCATGTTCGGTCTGGGGACTGCGGGACCACGGGCGGTGTCTGTGGGGCCAGGCGCCACGCTGGCGGCTTTGCTAGCTATCTCCTACTTGCAAACGTGGTGATGACGACTCCATCTCACACTGCCCGAGCCCGAGCCTCCCTCTGCCGTGGGTCTCCCCACAGTGGCAGGGCCAGGGAGTCCTTGAAGATGAGGAAGAGGAGGCCAACACAGACAGAGAGAAGCCCCGGGCGCGGGCGGGCGGTGGGGCGCGGGCGGGCGGTGGGGCGTGGCGGGCCGGCCATACTCACCGTACACCCAGCCGATGCAGACGCACTCGAAGATGGCCACGAAGAGGAGGCACATCCCGCTGGCGGCGTAGGAGTCGAAGAGCTGGAAGATGTACATGCCGCCCTGCAGGTGGCGGGACAGCTACGTGGACATGGGGACAGCGGCCGGCCAGCTGGCCTCGCTCTGCTGCAGCCGCCGGCCAGGCGTCCGCTGCCCTGGTCTGGACAGCGCACCCTCCCCCGGCACCCCTAAGAGGTTGTCCTCTGGGGGCTGCCAGCATTGTGGATGGTTTGTTTCATGCCGGCCCTCACTTCCCCACTCCCCAGGGCCAGAGACAATCCAGGAAATCTGAGACTGGAGGTAGGGACGCTCAGCGCCCCTCCCCAGACGGCCACAACAGCCTCCGGCCCGGCCCAGCCACCCTCTCCTGTCCTCACTTGCCATCTTCTAGAGCAGGGTCCTCAGACTTCCTAAACAGGGCCAGTTCCCTGTCCTCAGACCGTTGGAGGGCCGGACTATAGTTTAAGGAAAAACAGTGAACAAATTCCTATGCACACTGCACATATCTTATTTTGAAGTAAAAAAACAAACGGGCAAAAACACCCTCATGTGGCCCACGGGCCGTAGTTTGAGGACGCCTGTTCTAGAGGAACCTTTCTGTGAACCTGCAAATGCAACGGTGCCACCCTATAGTTGAAAGTGGCTCTTGGGCTCCCCCCAGCCTGCCAGTCAGGGTCACTGCCCGCCCTCCCGGCCTCACAGACCCCCCAGCCACCCTGGAGATGCTCCCCCCCGGACAGGCCATGGGGCAGTCTTGCCTCTGTGCCTTCGCACATGCTGTTCCCTTTCGCCAGGTGAGCTCCTTCAAAGCTCAGATCAAATGTTACCTCCTCCAAGAAGCCCTCCCTGACAGCCTCATTCTTTGGGCCTCTAAAGCAAGTTTTATGGACTCACAATTTTCAAAAAAGTACCCCCTGTAAGCTGCTGCTTTAGCTCTAAGCTCCCACTGAGAAGACCCCCACACTGGTCTCTGTGTCTCCAGCACAGGGCCTGGCACACAGTGGGTCCCTGAGGAATGCCAGTTGGATTGTGTGGGGCGTGAGCTGCAAGGGGAAGGCTCTGAGAGGCTTGTCCAGAGCTGGGTCCCCGCATCTGGCCTAGGACGTGGCACACGGGAGGTGCGTGGCCCGTGTCCGGGGGAAGGAGCACTGCGGGCCAGACCTGCAGGCACAAAGCCGAGGGGACGACGCTCGGCGAAGTCCTGGAGCTGTGAGCTCAGCTGGCCAAGGTTATCGCGAAGGTTCTCTAGGAGGGCTGGGAGGTGTCAGGGCGAGGAGGGAGGGCAGTCCAGCTACAGATTCAGGGAGAGTTGGGATTTGTCGAGATCATCTTTATATTACAATGAGGGTCCTTAGGGGGCACCATGAGGCACAGCGGAAATGAGAACGTAAGGAGCTAGGGAGGACCAGGTGGGGGTCTGAATGCTGGGACAGCGGGCTGGGCTAAGAAGCCAGCACGACGAAGCCCAGACGGCTCTGCGACTGCCACGGGGGCGTGCTCAGAGCTGAGCTCCCCTGCGCCCCAGCCGCCCGGCCTCCTCCCAGTGCACGGGCCACGCGGCCCGGGCTGCTCGCTTCTTCCTTCCTCTCTCCAGCTGGGGTGGGGACATCGCAACACTCGCAGGGCCAGACAGAGACTACAACTGAGCAAAGGGCCGGAGTGACATGGGGAGCGGTGGCGGCTGCGGCCAGCTGGAGAACAGGGCCCGCTGCACACAGCTCTGGTCGAGGGCTGCTGGGGATGTAGCTCTGAGGACAGACCTGCAGATATTCTGGAAGACACCAGAAATCCAGATTGCACGGGAAATTTTTCTTTCTCTTAATAGTTGGCAACTTTTCATGTTAAAGGGCTAAAACAACATGGATCCTGGGCAGCGCCTGGTCTGGGCTCCCGTCTGTGGCGCGACAGTGCATGTTCAGGCCTGCGGGGGCGGGCGCAGGCGGGAGGCGCCTCTGCGGTGCGCTCTGGGCCGGGCTGGCTGAGTTAAGCCCAAGACCCGCCCCCAATTGCCCTCCTCCCGTGAACATCACACACCTAAAAAGAACAGAGAAGCCCTTTACACAGGTCTGTTCTAGCTGCTTCTCTTGGCTTAGCCCAGTCGTTCTTCACAGTGCAATTATAAAGCAGTTGTTACTGTCACCCTCAGTGTTCATATGCGGAAACTGAGGCATGGTGCAGTGACAGCACCTTCTGCAGGTCATCCAGCCAGCTAGCCAAGGGCCGAGGAATGTCCCAGGTGGTCTGGCTGCAGAGCTGTGCTCTTAACCACCCAGCATGCCGCCTTGGTGGCAGATGAGAAATTTGTACCCTGTTTTTTCCCCCTAGAGCTAAGCTTTAAATGTGTATAAATGAAGGAGAAGTTTCTGCCAGCAATTACCTCAAAGGCCAAGGCAACACGGCCCATTTGGCAATTTGAACTTCCCTGGTGCCACTGCTCACAGATATTCCTCCGTGGAGGCGGAAGGTTGGCAGGTAAAGCCCAGTGTCTGCTGATTAACAGTCTTGGTGGCTGCAGTGCTGGCTCCCTGATGGCCCCTCAGGGGCCACGCGGTGCCCCTTGGGCAGATCTGAGGCCTCGGGCAGAGGGTGGGCATCCCAGATGCAGCAAGCCGGGGCACCAGGGACAGGCGGCCCAGCGGCTCCCCACCTGCCTGCTCCAAGCCAGTGATGCCGTGCCCTGTCAACGCTTGCTCTTCCCGTATCCCGTCCCCATTAGCCTCTGTAACGCATCAGGCTAGCCCTCCAATTTGTATGTGACAAAGACTCTACTCTGCATAACTAACCAGCGCTTAATGGGGCTCTGCTCACGGCAGCACCCAGGGCCCTGTCTGGGACAAGTGAGGCGGAAGCTGGGAAGCACCCCGTTCCTTTGCTCCAGCACTGATTATCCCTCTCATTAATGTGACAATGACTAGGAGCAGTGGCAACCCCAGCTGCTGTGCACCAAGCACCCACCTGTGCCAGGCCCTGAGCCAGCTCTGGGTCACAAAGCCCAGCAAAGACTGGTCCTGTTCTCATGGACCGCGAGGCCTGGGTGGAGAGGCAGGTGACCGCAGCAGGCAGCGGACCGTGGGGTCCTGGCGATGGTGAGGGGTGGGCGGAGCTGGGAAGCAGGCACTGGGGGCATGGCCGAGGGAGGCGAGCAGAGGCGGCTGCCGGAGGCGGCGGCACTGGACCTGGGCAGGCTCGACAAGGTGGCGTCGGCCAGGCGCCCCCCAGACTGGACTCAGTGTCGCACTGCTGTCACGGGTTCTGAGTTCCCTGGTTTCTTTCCACATTTCGTGCAGAACCTCTTCTTGTTTCTAGGCAACAGTGTTTGTTTTTTGGGTTTTTTTTTTTTTTTTTTTTGCTTTTTAAATTGATTGTCTGCATGTGAGGAGAAAGATGCCTATCTCACCTTCCCGACATACTAGAGGAAGTGTTTATTTGGCAAGATGGCTGCCGGAGGGGAGAGACACATGGCTTCACCGGACATTCCTAACTGGGGCTCATGGAGAACCCGCAGGCCCCGCAGGGACAAGGAGGACGGGGGCACGCAGACGGCCGAGGCTGGAACACACAGCACCTGGAGGTGCCAAGTATTGGCGCGGAGCCTGTTCTCGCAGGCAGGCAGGAAAGCCTGCCGCGAACGTGAGACCAGTGATAGGGGACTAAGGGTAGGGGCTGGCGGTGACACTGTCCCCTGCACCCGGGAGTGACTCTTGGGGACTGGCTGGCAGGCACGTCCTCACGCCTACTAGATGAAGTGAGTCCCAGCCCCTGTTAATGACAGCAGTGCCCTTCAGCTGTGCACTGACATGGAGCCCTTGTCCAAGGGCGTCACGAGAACCTCTGCTTCATCCTCACAGCGACCCACTAGGAAGAGGCTTGCCGATGGCAGGGAAGGTGCTGGGCACGCCCAGGGCCCAGGTCACACGGCTGGTTCCCAAGAGCTGGGCGCTGCTGCCCTGCACCTGCGGCGCCCCTGCAGCACAGCGCACGCCACTCACCTCCGTCAACATCACGAGGCCCAGAAAATAGGAGACGACCGACAAGGCCAGGATGAGCAGCTCCCGCCGGTAGCCCCTCCGGAAGACCTTGGGGTACATGTCCACCACGGCCGTCACCAGGCTTTCCACGCACACAAACTGGATGGGGAGACACGATGGTGTGAAACCCAAGAAAAAGGCCATTCCTGGTGGCCCTGGCGCTGGGCAAGCACAGTGGGCCTAGACCCTGGGCTTCCTCGTGCCAGGCTCACCTGCACCCCACACTCACACACACGCACGCAGGGACTGAGAACAGCGGTCCCAGCACTAACAGAGCTCCGGCACGTCCATTTAACAGGTGACAACACTGACCCTGGAAGCAACCTGCCCAGGGTCACTCAGCAAGGAATGGCAGTCAGGACTTGAACTAGGGTCTCCAGACTCCAAATCGAGTACTCCTCCTTCTGCCCCTGCTGTCATGTGCCTACATGTTGGGCCTGTCTGGGGCAGCAATTTAAATGAAGCCCAGCCCCTGCTCTTGGGGCGAGACTGGAGGCTTTATAACGCCCCTGGCAGCCAGTGGCTCTCTTGGTGGCAGGCTCTGCTCGGTCCTGTGGCCTCCAGGGCTGTGAGGGTTCCCTGCCCTTGCTCCTGGTGGGCAGGCACCTCTGCCAGGAGGAGGGCGTCCAGAGCTGAGCCGACAGCCAGCTCTGTGTCTCTGCTGTGAGTCTCTGGGCTGTGCAGGCAGTGCTGGCCGAGCCTGAGCCACTACGCACCTGCATCCTGGGTGCTGAGCACAGGGCCAGACACGCGACGTCTGCCCAACTCCTGCCCACCCGTCAACAGCCAGCCCAAACATCCTGACACACCAGCCTCCCTCCTCTGGTTCTCCTGGAACTGGGCAGACCTCCTGCATGGACCTTTTCCTGACCCTGCCTCCTTTCCCCTCCAGGAGAGAACAGACCCTCCTTCTCTTCTAGCCCTGAGAACACCTCCTCACACTGGCAGCTGGCGTGTGTTTCCTTAAAAGCAAGTCAGAGCCTGGAGGGCAGGGCCACATCACTTAGACCCATCTCCAGCATCTAGCACAGCGCCTGGCACAGAGGACAGCCTCAGAAAATGTTTGATAAATGAATAAAGGTAATGATGACAGTGATGAGTGCTTGCTATGTGCCAGGCTGTTCGAGGCAGCTAACATATACTAATTTATTCACTCTGCACGTGGTGCATACTATAAGCATCCCCACTTTATAAACAAGGACACAGAAGCAGAGGGGAGTACGCAACTTGCCCAGGGTCACACAGGTGTCATGTGGCAGAGCCTGGGTTTGAACCCAGCAATCTTGTTCCAGAGGCTGGGCTTGAACCACTGTGCGGCCCTGCCTCCAGGAAGGGAGGGAGGGAGGAGGGCTCAAGGGCACAGAAGCTTAGGGGAGGGAATAAGCACCTCGCCCAAGGTCACATGGGGGGATTCACTTTTGCCTCTTCGGGAAAGGCATTTCCATCCTCACTGTGCAAAGCCGATGAAGCGCAGAGAGGTGCAGTGACTGTCCCAAGTCACACAGCTGGCAGGAGTTGCGGACCTGGGACTCAAACCCTGTCCTGCCTCCAGAGCCAGGCCGCCCTGCCTCTGCATCGAAGGCTGGCTTTGCCCGTCCTTTCTCCAGGGTGGTGGGGAAGGAAGGGGATGGAGCTCAAGGGAGGCTGTTGATCCGGGATCAAAACTGAAGAGACATCGGAGGGTGTGGGCTAAGAGGCGGACGGGCCTGGGGGCGCGCCCCAGCAAGGCACTCTGTCTCTGAGCCTCGGTTTCTCCCTCTGTAAATTGGAGACAAGGGGGCTCCAGCCCATGTGCTTATCGTGACGCTGATCTGAGAACGTGGCCCAGGCGCACAGCGAGTGTGGCAGGCGTGGGGGTGGGCAGAGAGCCGCCGCCTCGGTGCCAGGCCCGGGCCGTCTGCGCGCCGAGGTCCCAGCCCTCCTCCCTTGGCCAGGCGGGCCTGTGCTGCCACGCGCAAGCTGCCGAGGCCCGAGGCCTCTGCCCGTGATGGCAACAACGAGGGAGAAATATCGGCAGAAACACCCGAGACTGAGCACCAGAGACTGAGCAGTTTCCGGGAAGCAGTTCAGGGGAAGAAATCGGACGTGGCCGGGTTGGCAGACCTGCCAGCGTGGGGCTCGCACAGGTCAGGGGCAGGGTGGCACCTCGCAGCCCACTTGGGCACTGTCCCCACAGGCCTGGCCGGGTGAGTCTCGCCAGGTCGAGGGGGCCCGGGCGCCTGCTTTGCCTGTGCCCTGTTGAAGCAGGCCCTGCGGCCTGCAGAGCCGCCTCCGCCCCGCGCTGCCCGCCACACCCCGCCGGCGGCTGGGCCGCTGCTTCCGCGGAACAAGTGCTCTGGGGCTCGTAGGGAACCAGCGGGGATGAGTAGCAGGGCCGAGGGCAGGTCTGGGGACCGAGGGGACAACAGGGTCAGAGAAACTGAGGCAAGGACTGCAGAGTGCTCGGGTGGGCTCGCGCGTGTGCGCCACGTGCAGACACAGGGGCTGCTCCCCAGGAGGCTGCTGGGGGTCCTCGAGGAGCCTAAGGTTGGGCTGAGCCAGGGCAGGCAGGGGAGGGCGGGGCAGAGCTGGTGCTCTGAGGGGCCAGCGGCCGCCTGGGGCCTGTCACAGTGGCCCCAGCACCGAGACGGAGGAAGGGAGAGGAAGTGCATTACTGTCCCCGTGTCCTGAGTGACTGGGTGGGGACAGGGCACGTGTGTTGCAGGCCCACTTTGCCAGGCGAGCTGTCGGTCGTGTGTGGCTTAGCAGCATGGAAGAATCTAGCAGCTTTCAAAACTGGAACTGGAAGTTCCCACTAGGGAAAACTGCCCGGGAAGGCGTGGAGGGCCGAGCAGGTGTGTCTGTGGAGCCCAGCAGGGGCGGGAGGACAGCAGGGCAATGGGCGGCGTCTGGGCCCCGACGCCAGGGCCAGGGCCGGTGGCCAGGCCTGGGGAGCCGCCCCACGAGTGGTGTCCGCCGGCGCTGCCCCCCAACCAGGGCTCCCCTCCCCCGCCTCTTACCTGGCTGTCCAGCCCCAGGAAGATGAGCATCATGAAGAACAAGGTGGCCCACACAGGGGACAGAGGCATCATGGTGACAGCCTTGGGGTAGGCGATAAAGGCCAGGCCAGGGCCTGGGGGAGGAGAGAAAGCTGCTGGGTGGGTCCAGGCCCTCATTCCGCTGCCATTTTAACCCAGTGTTCACCGAGCGCCTCCTCTGTGCCTGTCACTCAGACCACTTCAATCTCTAGCTGCCCCAGTGGCCGGTGCTATACTGATGCCCATTTTGCAGACAAGCAAATTGAGACATAGGCAGGTAAACAAGGGTCTGGAAAGACCAGGATTCCAACCCGATTTGGTCTGACACATGGACCTTCCTCTGGACAGACCTGTCTCTACTGTTCTCATGAAACAGGGTGTGGTTTCTTGTTAAAATGCCCACCCAGAGATTCTGATTTGGTTTGTTTAGAGTGAAGCAAGGACTAGACATCTGGTGGCTCTGATGTAGGTAGTTAGGGGTCCAGGCTTGGAGAAATGCTGTTCCACTCAGACTCTCTTCCTTTGGGCTCTTCTCTCATTTCCCAGGTCCACACTCACCCACTTTGGCTGCTGCAAGTAGGGGGCTTGGTTAGCATGTCCCCAGGATTGAACTTCCTTAATGTTAGTGGAGAGACACCTGATGTTCCAGCCCTGTAGCACAGTGGTCAAGAGCACAGGCTCTGTAGCTAGATGGCCTGGGTTCAAATCCTGGTTCTTTCATTATTTACTGTGATCTATGTCTGTTTCCTAAGCTGAAAAATGGGGATAATAAATAAAGCCCTACCTAAAAAGGTGGTTTATGAAAATTCAGTGAAATGTTACAAAATACAAAAAGCATTTAAAAAGATAAATGCTTAATAAACATTAGCTCTGATGATTTGTTTTTTACTTTAAAGAGCAACTTTATTAAAGTAAAACTTGCATACAATACGCATTTTAAGTATATAGTTCAAAGAATTTTGACAAAGTGTATATGCCCAGATAACCACAGTGCAATCATGATACTGAACACTGCCTTCACCTTCTCGTGCCCTCTGAAGTCCCTCCATCTCATTCTCCAAGCTCACCTTGGGCGACCAACAGTGTGATTTTTTTTCACCTCAGATGAGTTTTGTCTGTTCTACGTAGAAGTGGAATAGCCCAGTCATAAGGCAATCATATGTTTAACTTTCTAAGAAACGCCAAACTGATTTCCCAAGTAGCTATGCCATTTTAGTTTTACCAGCAACGTTTGAGATTTCCAGTGGCCCCATGTCCTTGCCAACAGCCAATATTGCCAGTCTTTTAAATTTAGTCATTATAGTGGGTGTGAGATGTTATATCATTATGGTTTTCATTTACATTTTACTGATGCCTAATAATGTTGAGTATCTTCACATATTTATTATTTACCCATAGATTTTCTTTCATGAAGTGACAGCTTGAGTCCTTTGTCCATTTTTCATTGTGTTGTTTCCTTTTCACCAGGCTGTGTGAGTTCCTTATATATTTGGGATATAAATCCTTTATCAGAGGAATATTATGATATTTTCTCCCAGCCTATGGTTTGCCTTTTCGTTTTCTAAATCGTGTCTTGTTAAGAGCAGAAGTTTAAAATTTTCCACTAGTTTGTTGCAAACATTGAAAGAAATATAATAGATTTTGTTTACTGTCCTTTGTCCTGTGACCTTACTAAGTTCACTTATTCCTTTTTTGCAGGTTCCTTAGGATTTTTGACTGGTCAATCATGTTGTTTATTGATAGAAACAGTTTTATTCTTCCTTTCAATGGTAATGCTTTTTATTTTCCTTACCTTACTGCACTCTCTAGGCACTCCAATACCATACGGCAAAGAAAAGACTGTCCTGGCTTTGTTTTTAATTTTAGTGGCACTCATTCAATATTTAATAACTGGGAAACTAACATTGGTACAATACCATTAATTAAGCCACAAATCTTACTCATTTTCTACTAGTTTTCTCCTTTTGACCTTTTTCTTTCTGTTCCAGTATTCGACTCAGAACGCCACATGCCCTTACTGGTCGTGTCTCCTCAGTCTTCTCCAGCCTGTGACAGCTCCCCAGCCTTGTCCTTCAAAACTTGTCACTTTTGATGTATACTGGCTGTTATTTTGCAGAATGCCTCTTAATATGGGTTTGTCTGATGTCTTCTCCTGATTAGACTGAGACTGTGCATTTTTCTTTTTGTTTTGGGGGCAAGAAACCCGCAGAAGGATGTTGTGTCCTTCTGGGAGTATCGTGTGGGGGCCCGTGTCGGTCAAGCCTTGTCACTGGCGATGTTCGCCTTGACCACTTAAGGTTAACGTTACTCTCTTCACTGTAGAGTTACTCTTTTTCTGATTGTTAAATATCTTGGAGGGGGAACATATTGAGATTATGGAAATATCCTGTTTCTATTTAAACTCTTGCCCACTGATGTTAGCACCCCTTTGTGGATGTTGCCTGTGGCCATCATTACAATGGTGTTTGCCTGATGGTGATTTGGTATTTCCCTCATTCCTTCTATATTTATTAATTAGAATTCTTCTGTAAGGAATAGCTGTCCCTTCACCCCATTTATTTATTTATTCATTTATTATTTTTTTTAAATTTTTGATTATTCAATTATTTATTGATATCAGTTTGGACTCCTGGGTATTTATTCTATGGATCACAAACCAATACTATCATTATTTTGCTGCTCAAATTGTTCCAGCTTTGGCCATTGGGAGTTCATTTGGGTTGATTCCTACGTCTTTGTTGACATGCCTCTGCCTTTTTCTGAGTACTTCCTTATTTTTTTGATACCACAAAAATATTCTAGCTTCATCCTGTCTTGCCCTAGTACTGGAATCAACTACTTCTCTGAGGAGCCTGGTTTCTTTTACTGGAGAATGGTGTTTAGAAACCAACACCTGGGCCCCAGGTATGTGCACAGCTATGGAGCAACAATGCTCACAGGCCCTCTCAGCACACAAAGCTAGGAAATACATGGGTGTTTGCCCTTGCACACATGCACGTGTATATTTCTATATCTAGACACACATGGAAACCATGAGTTTTAATATACTGATACTTCCAATTCCATTAAAGATAATTCAAACGTCTCTACTTCGTTATTTATAACTTCTTCCTCAGAGAGTGAAAAATCTGACCCTAATTATCTGTAATATATTTACCTATTTGTTCAATCCTAATATACACGTATAGCATTTGCAGGATTCTGAATGCACAGCCCTGTACAAATACGAGCATAGCACAGTCATTCTTGTCTTTCGCCTTATCACGGTGTCCGGCAGCTCAGTCTTTTCTCCCCCTTCAGTCTGGTTGCACTACTCATTTGCTGTGCAGGCAGCTTTAGTTGCTACTGTTGTGTTCCACTTGAGGCTCCACCACAGGGAGTGAGAGTCTATTTCTCTTGGGAGGCATGGAAACATTGCCCAGAGTCAGGACCAGTAATAAAGATGCCCTGGGAAAGTGTGGCTGCCTCCTCGCCCTTCCTCCCTCCCTCCACTACCTCCGTTCCACCCCTCCCTCCCCCGAAGGAAGCTGTTCTCTTTTGTTTCTAGTTCATCCTTTCTATATTTCTTCTGTATAAATGAGTAGACATATTTTCTCATATCCCCTTCTGTCTCACACAAGGAGTAGGATGCTATAAATATTTCCTTTTTAAACTTTTACACACATACATGTCATTTAAAAAAATTCCTTAATTTCTACTTTATTACTTTATGTTGTAAATGTGTGTGAAATTTTTTCAAAGGTTTTTCAGCATTAATGGAGATAATCTTATGATTTTTGTAGATCTATTAATATAGTATATAATATTAATGGATTTCCTAGCATTAAACCAACCTTGCAGTATTCCCAGACTAAATCCTACTTGGTCATGGTATATTGCCTTCTTATTGTGATTTTGGATTCTGTTTGCCGATATTTTACTTAGTATTTTTGCCTCAATGTGCATGAATGATATTGGTCTCAGTAGTGTTCTTTCTTTATATTGTCTTTATCTGGTTTAGGTTATATATGCTTCATAAAAGGATTTAGGAGGATTTTATTCCCCTTTAATGCTGTGGAATAATTTAGAGAGTATGGTCCTTGAGGGTTTGGTAGAATTCCTCTGAGAAACCACCTGAGCATGGTGTTTTGTTGTGGGGTAGTCCCTCAATAAATTTGTCTTTCTTACATGGAAATTGGACTACTTAAGTGTTTTAAATCAAATACAGTCAATTTTGGTAATCTGTGTTTTACTAGAGAAATATTCATTTCATCTATGTTTTCAAATTTATATGCATAGATGACTATGTTGGGGCTCAAAAAATACCCCCAAATATGGCATTTTGGCATATTGAGTGCTTTGAATTAAAAGAACTTAGAAGGCTTCAGAAATAAGCTTCAGAACCAAAGTCTCTCCCTGACCTTACCCTACCCCCTGTCTCTCTAATTCTCTTTCTTTTCCAAAGCACAGGGATTGGAAGACTCTCTTTGGGATTTCCTTATCTGACTAGGGAAGCATTTTTCCAAAAGAAATGTAATTATCTTAAGACTCCTTTTCTAGGAATCTCATCAAACAACCTGGAAAGATTAACCAGAGATTAACCAGAGAAGAAACTGGGAGTCATCACCATGCCCAGAAAGACTTTACATCTATTCTGAAGGCAGTTTGGACAGATTACCTGGGAGGCTTTATCTGCATACGAGGATGACCTTTGTTTACAGTGAAATTCTGGAGCTCACCTTATTGCCACCTCTCCCAAGAGCTCAGAAGGACTTTGTCTCAGGACATCTTTCTTTGGGCTGATGTATTTCCCCTGAAAATCATTTATTCCTAGACCCTTCCTTCCCCTGTGAGGAAGGGTATATAAACATCTGGACTTCATCGTGTTATTGGGTAATCATTCTCCTGTGATTCCCCCATGCTATGCACATTAAACATATTTGTGAGCCTTTTTCTCCTATTAATCTGTCTGTTGCCAGTCATTTCAGCAAATCTTCAGAGAGGCTGGGAGGGAAGCTTGGTCTCTGCCCCTATAACTGCAAAGCAGTCTCTTACAATTTTCAGAAGTTTCTTCTACTTCAATGGCAATTTCTCCCCTTGTCATTCCTTACTTTAT